TGATTCATTTTGGTCAAGGGATCACAGTAGCCTACCTGGCCGTTGGTTCATTGTTTTGTTCTCGTTATTTGACTAAGATGAACCCGTAAGCGTTTAAGCATACCTAAAGACGAGCGTGACAATTTTATTTTAGACATTATTTCAATAAACTAGTGTAACTGATTTCCAGTATGTAAATGCGATTTACTGAGACATTTTCATGTTCAATACTAACTGACTTTATCCAAAAAAACGCTAGAATTCACATTATTCTCGGGGCGATGTATTGTTCTCTATAATTTATTTGAAATTAAGGAGGAACCAGAAAAGAACGGTGGATTTTGCTTTTTTTAAGAACGGAGCATCGGTAACGTTACAACTTTATTGAAATCATGAATCGATCAATGTTAGACCAGAGTTAGAAACCTGGAAGCACTAGATGGTTGTTCCTTCCTAGTTTGGGACTCATCAGTAGTGCGCTTCAATGGCTCTGAAAGCGGGAGTTGAATTCATGACATTCAATTCTCCCGCACAAAAGCTTAACCTATAGACTACTGAGCCGGCGGCATCCCATCGCGTTGATGTCTAACTTTAATAAATTCACGGCATTGTACTCAGCAGTTAATGGATATGAAGTTAAGACTCAATAGGCACACGTCTTCGAACTGATTACGTTTTGCTGTAACAATCACTGTCAAAAAATATAAACCAAACTTGTTTATTCATAAGAAATTGTTTACACCAATGTTGCACCTTCGTGACTTTTGTGACAATTCTGTTTACCCAAATATATATATTAAATCTTCCAATCAAACGTTTTTGTTAACAACATTATTGCGTAACAACCTGTGATTATGACGTAAGCTTATTGCTATTATTACGTAACTTTGAATATGTATTGATTACCCTAGAATTTTCATATTAATTATCATGTAAACATTCAACCACGTGAATAAATTTTAGGAATATGTCACATTTCTTATCGTGCACACATCCGCATAGATGACAATATGTTTGATAATATAACATAAAGTCTGTATACTGCTGATTTCACTGATTCAAACTGTGAGGTTTAACATTGATATGATGAATGAATCGTTGTTAGACAATTATTAGAGATCCCGAAGCACTGAAAGGCCGTTTCGTCCTGGTAAAGCCTTCCCCAGCGTGCGCATCCACGACTTCCGCCACTGGTAGGATTCGAACACAGGGATTTTCAGTCTTGCACGGGAACGCTTAACCTCTAGACCATCCCGCCGGCATCCAACGGTGTTAATGTCTAACTTTGATCAATCTAAGGATTTTGCACGCAACCTGACTCACTATCTTCGGTATGCAACTGCCTACACTACTTCACTGGTTTAACCACCTGAATAACTTTTATAAATACTTCACAATTCTAATCGTTTATTTATCCGTATAGATGATAATATGTTTGATACTGTGACATAAAGTATGTTTACTGCTGATTTCATTGATTAAAACTGTGATGTTTAATATTGAAATGATGAATGATACATTGTTAGACGACTATTAGAAACACTGAAGCACTGGACGATCATGTTACTCGAGTATGAGACTCATCAGCAGCGAACATCCACAATTCGTGCCACTCGCAGAAATCAATCTCAGGACCTTAGATCTTGTACGCGAACGCTCTACCTCTAAATCACTAAGCTAGCATCCAACGGTCTTGATGTCTAACTTTGATCAGTCTAAGGATTTTGAACAACCTCATCCACCGCCTACACCCGACAAGGTTGAGCTCCACTGATAAGGTCTTCTCACTAGAATTGACAATACTATAACCGTAAATGTACAATTATGAAAATTACAAATTACAAAACTTACTTCTGTGAAAAATCCATTAAATCCATTCAAATTATTTTGATTTGGACTGAGTGGTTTACCTGTTAAAAGAAAAAAGATAAAGAAATTTAGGATAAAATGTGAATGAATTTACGTTAGTGTTCTTTTGGCCACAAGACAAGCTCTCACTTGGAACCCTCAAGGCTAAAGGAAAAGAGGAAGGCCAAGGAAAACATTACGCCGAGAAACAGTCTTTCAAGTCTCAAAAAAGTCTAAGTTGCGTCATTTTTAGCCTCTCTGACAATGATCCATTCATGTTTTTAATGCGCCAAATACATGTCTGATCACTTCTAGAATAGTGTGCTTTGTTTCTTGGTAGAGTTAGTACAAAGGAAAAGTTGAAATCTTTTTTGGCAACGATTTACGCATCATATTCTTGGTAATAATTGTAACTTAAGCTACAAAACCAAACTGAATAAGCTTGAACTCAACTAAAGTTTATTCTTCTCTCCAAAATACTTAATAAACTATTTTTTACATTCACTGTTGTAATCTAAACTAGTGATGGTTTTTTCATTCTCTTTGAGTTGGATGTTTTTTTCGTTGTGGAGCTTTGATTGCGCGTCTGAACAACATCATCATCATCAGCATAAACTTCAGATAGATTTCTATCTGTCTGACGATGATGATGATGATGATGATGATGATGATGATGAAGATGTTCAGAAAAGGAACACTGAAAGCTCTACATCCAACTCAAAGAGAATGAAACTTCACCATAAAACTTAACAATCTCTATTATTATTATTATTATTATTATTATTTTTATTATTATTATTCAGTCCATTGAAAAGAAATCGATCCACAAATATGATAAAAAAAATATTAACGAAAACAATACAAACTCAATTACTTTAGATTAATTAAATTTAATTAATGAAATAATTAAATAAAAAATTAACTTCATTGATAATTGTATTATTTACTTACTAATGAGATGAATAAAGATAAAATATTCTTTTGTTTGGTGAAGAGGTTGTTGTCAATTTTTTTATAATGACAATGATTAGAATGAAGTGAATGAATTTATGATTGAACAAAAGAAAAGATAAATGGATGCATATTTTTTTTTCCAGAAAATACTCACATAAATAGTGTTTTCTAAGGTATTGTTACTTTCGACCTCCGTAGATCAATAGATGAAGTTGTGAAACTTCATCAGTTAAGGTGGTTGGGACATGTATTACGTATGGCTAACCATCGACTGCCGAGACGAGCTATGTTTCATGGTGTAGGAGTAGGTTGGAAGAAAGATAGGGGGCGGCCAAACCAAAACATGGCAGAAATGCATGAAGTCACTGACAGGTGGACTGAGTCATGTTGGTAGATGTAGACTACCTAGTTGGGGTCCGCGAGACGAAAGTCACCATTGGTTAGAGACCTTGAACAAAATGGCTCGGAATCGTTTGCAATGGCGCAAGTGCATCCATTCTTTGAGCTCTCTCAAATCCTAGTCTTCTGGATTGGTCAGCATCGCTACCTTTGTCTTTCTAACCTTATCTCACTGAATTATACTTCTTGAATAATATCTTCGAACCGTATTCTTCTTCATTACCATTAATATCTCTACTATCTTTATCACTATGGGATTTGATTTGACATTTGCGTTTCTGTGCTAATGTGGTATGGCAACATGAACTTATGTACATACGTACGAAGTTCTACGTTGCAACTAACTGACTGACTTGTTACTCTCGTCTCTAGGTATGCTTAAACTATTATGAGTTTTCTTTTAGTCGAATAACGAGAACAAAACAATGAACTAGTGTCCAGGTAGTCTACTGTGATCCCTTAAACAAATTGTACCAGCAAGAAGTCTTGATATAGTGTAGAGAGTGTATTCTAAAAACACTCAGCCAGCACACCATGAATCGAAGCACTCAAATTGTGTTTATTTATACTCGATAGAGACGTCGTTGGGACAGTCAAAAAAATAGCACACTAAAACGACAGAGTACCCACTCACAGCCAAGGATTTCCGTAGTGGGAAATGTGATCTGAAGGTCAACTGATCGGTCCATGAGATACATCCACAATAAAGATATTTATCAAGCGAGATCTGGGGATCTAACATCCCCAACATATCTTAAATTAAATTCTTGGTCAGATGATTTCAATGTAAATTAATGATCATCAGCTTTGTGAAGAAATTCTTGTAGTTCTAGTGAGAAGCCATTATCAGTAGAGTTTAACCCTGTCAAGTGTACGCAATTTTACCTAACGAATACAATGGGCAAAGTTGTGCAAAATCTTTTAGATTGATCAGAGTTAGACATTTACACCGTTGGATGCTGACTCAGTGGTTCACAGGTTAAGGGTTCATGCAGGAGATCGAAAGCCCTCTGTTCGAATCCTGTGAGTAGCAGGAGTCATGAATGTTTAATACTGATGAGTCCCATCTCAGGACGAAACGGCCGCTTAGGGCTTTGAGGTTTCTAATGTTGGTCTGATTGGTTCATAATTTCAGTGTTAAACAACGATCGCCATTATTACGTAATACAAAAGCCTGTGTCGTTCGGTTTGCAGTTGGATTTGAATTCTATTGTTAAAATCCAAGATGGCCACAATGTTGTTCTGGATTGAGTCATGTTGGTAAGTGTTGATTACCTAGTTGGGGTTCGTGAGACGGTAGCAACCGATGGTTAGAGATTTTAAACGACGTGACTCAAAATCGTTTGCATTGGCAGAGGTACATCCACTCTTTGTGTTCGCTGAAATTTTAATCTTCTGAATCCCTCATCACCTCTATCTTTCTCTTTCTAAATTTATCTCACTGAATTATACCTCTTGAATGGTATTTCTGAACTCCAATCTTCTTCATTACCGTTAATACTTCTACTGCCTTAACCACTATGGGATTTGAATTGACAATTTCATCCCTGTGCTAATGTGGTATGGTAACCTGAACTGATGTACATACGTACATTGTAGCTGACTGACAAATTGTATAAAATGTGGATACTTTAGAGATTTCGATAACCACAAATACAAAAAACTATCTTTGATATTTTTATTGTAAATACCATTTGGCCTAAAGAATGCTATCTATGCACATCAATCCCTCTAGACTACATCATTTTATTTATTAAAAAAAAAACAAAACAGAATTAATTACATTCAAATTTCTAATTTGTGGGAATGAACATTGATTCCCTCCTTGTAAATAAACAAATGTAACACATTTTGGATTACCTACTGTCATTGATGATGATATTTTGTATAATTAACTCTGGTAAATTATGATTGAAATGAATTGAAGTTTACTTATTTCCCATAAATCATATTTTTTAAGTAATTAATTAAGTAGTAGAGGTGGGTAGAGAGAAAAAAAAATCACATTGATGTGTATCTAATAATTATTACATTCGATAGAAACAATGGGAAGTATGTAGTTGACTTGTATTTACATTATTACTACTTTGTATTTAAAGATGATTAAACGCATTAAATTAAGATTGTTTACTGATCAAGTATCATAAAAAGAATGTTTCTAATTGCATTTGAGTAATATGAAGAGCATAGTTTTATTTTGATATCATGAATAAATCATTGTTAGTCCACCGTTAGAAACACCGAAGCACCGAACGGGCGTTTTACCCAAAAGTATGGGACTCATTAGCAGTGCGCATCATCGACTCCCGCTACTCGTGAGATTCAAACTTCAGTCTTGCACGTGAACGCTCAACTTTTGGATCACTGAGTTGACATCCAATGGTGTTAATGTCTAACTGAGATCAATCTAAGAATTTCTGAGTAACCGCATTCACTGTCTTCGGTATTTTGGTGCCTACAACCGATAGGGGTTGAACTCCACTGGTCACAGTTTCTCACTAGAACTCCCAAAATTTCTTCACGAATCTAGACTATAGGGAGCAGATTTATCTGTTTAGCATTAAGGGGCATTATAGAGATCGTAGTTTTGTCGGTTTTTATCATTTTGAAAACTGTACCTGATAAAGAGCCATACATTTGTTTAAATCAACTAGCAGTATTGTAGTAATAATACTAGCTGTAAAAATGGATTTAGTGTCTTTCAGAGTTAAAACGTTTCCTGTCTTTGCCAAAGTTCCATGAATGAAACGATAAGGTGATGTAACCAAGCGATATGAAGAACAATAGAAAAGAACCATTGTTTGCACAATGATTTTTACGTAAAATTTGGTTAATGGTTAACTGATTTCATGACTGATGGCGGATTATTTCACATTGACTAGTAGTGACTGAAAAATTAGAGTATATTTACTACAAATTAAACTCTGCCTGGATCCCTTTTGAGCTTACTGCCGACCCAGATAAAGGAGCAGGAGGATTGGGGATGGAATCGCTGACCCCATAACGTAGAAAATCAACTCGCTCAGAAAACATTAATCAGCACAACTGATTCAAACTATTTTAACTCTGCCCTGGCATTTGGAAGCTCTTTATTTAGAATATTTATGATGTCTCATAACGAAAGTTGATTCATGAGACCGATACCCCTTCTCAAAACCAGAGCAACAATTAATATAGGTATGTGGAATGTTCATACATTGTGTGAGACTGGGACAGTCATTCAAGTTGCTACAGAATATTTATTACAAATTAAACCTTTAGTTATATCGTATTGGTATTCAAGTTATTTTGACAAGATTCTAACAGTGGTCATCTTTATATGTTACGTCAAGCTGATGTTAAATTTAAAATGAAAGAAACTGAGTTATCTCTCACTTCAGCAAATGAACACTAGTATTAACTTGCTTAAACAAAATGCTTTTAAGAGGTGAACACTAGTTCTGAAACACATTGATGATTGATAAGTCATTTTTGAAGATGGAACTGACTATGAAAGTCATAATAATCATTTATTCTAAAAAATAATTATCACAGAATTCATGTCATTCACAAAACGGGTTTTAATTTTGCACATTACGATTCATTTGAGGAAACGTATGAACAATGTCAAATGAACAAACAGGTATATTAATAGTGATGACTTGATGGGTATGTTATTCAACTGTTAGTTCCTAAATTTATTTTAAAATTCTTCAGGTCGTAAATTACA